CGGATAGGAAAGCGGTTAAAGAGGTTGTTCCGGAAGATATGTCGAGTGAGCTGTCGTCGGCAAATGCGTAGTCGGCTTTTTGAAATGCACTCTTGATTGCTTTTTCCAAACAATTGGGGAAAAACGAGTTCTCGATTATGAATTTGAGAATGTTGTTCCTGATGAAATATGCTGCGTCGGAACCTCCATGACCATCGAACACCTGCTTAACATATAGCACGAATCACTAAAACAAACATCGATCATATGAAAAAATAAACGATACGTAATTTATTAATTAACTATTTGGCAAAGAATATATTAACGGGATCAAATTAACTGTTGAGTCAAATTATCGATGCAGATATGTTCGTCTTCCATGTACGGTTTCGGGCCTTTTTCAGCACAGCTTCCGGATCGAAAAACAGGTAAATAGTTCGATAATAAATCCGTCGGCGACTTAATTCCAGTGATTCCAACACACGAATCCTTCAAAGGTAGAAATATATACCATAAATAAAGAAAAATATAATAACTTCAACTCAGCATTGAAAACACAATCTAAGATCAAGTGGCAATCATGTAATTACTCGATAAAACTGAAAGAATTATTACACGGAGAAGAATCTACGAACCATTTCCGAGGGCGCCAGGAACGAAGTGGTGCTGATGGAATGCCGTACGACCGAAATATGACGTGGCGGCTTACCATTCACCGTCTGCTTCGATTCGTCCGAATTTTCGGATATTTCGTCTTTCACAAGAGAAAGATCGCCTCTATCGTTGCTAAATCCACATTCTACATTGTAAGCGAACGGATGCGAAAAATCGGTAGCAGTAGCCATACTAGTTTTTACAAAAGCATCAACCCTAAGTTTCTTCAACAAAGATCAATCACTCAAAAGAAACCCAACTTTTGACGATAAATTCCGAAAAATTAGAATATTCACCTTGATCAAATATCAATTAACTGCTATGAATTTCTAAAAAAAAAAACAATACCTATAATCGATAAGAACCCTTATATTCCTTAGCAACAAAAAAGAAAATTTAAAATCCCTCAATTCTTCAGCAACATGAAATTCCAATCAATTAAAAAGATCCGACTCTGCAAAAATTAGCCCTAACCCGTGATCAAATCCATGACATTTCCATGAAGCTCAGAAGATTCCCCCAAAGCCAAAATTCAGGAACAACGGATGCAACAACAAAAAATTAAAATAAAATTACAGAATAAAATGAAAATAGAAGCAGTTTATGATAAAATGCGCAGCTTCGGGTGATCCCTCTTTGTTTTATCTCACTATACAAAATACGAGTTTTTAAAAAAAAAACAATTTGGGTAAATTACAAACACCCCCCTGAGGTATGGTCAAATTACAAAAATCCCCCTCTTGTTTGGATAATTACAACCACCCCCTCAACTCCTCAAATTTAGTGGAATCTTCGAGATTATATGGAATATTATCACTTTTGTACCCGTTTCATCCCATTCAAACTCTACATTATGAAACAAGATGATCATAATATGTGATTTTTAGCTTGTATATATCAGTTTGTGGTGCATCGAAAACTGTATTTCTACACAAAACGAGTACAAACTAGAGCACATTTCACGGAATCTAGATAATTATGTTGAATTTGGCACCATAAGGGTGGAGGTGTAAGAAAAAATCATAGTTGAGGGGTAGATGTAATTATCCAAACAAGAGGGGGTTTTTGTAATTTGACCATACCTCAGGGGGTGTTTGTAATTTACCCTTTTTTTGGTCCCCGCCGTTACATGTCGTTAGCAAGTAAAGGAAAACACTATTTTGGGGCGAAAATTAAAATTTTAATTTTTTTGGGGCTGAAAAATAATTAGAAATTTAAAATAGACTACTTATAATTTTTTTTTAATAATATTCAGTATAATGAAATTTATTTAGTTAATTTATTTATTTTATTATTAGAAAATAATCATAAGTAGTATAATAAAAGCTAAAATTATGTATAAGGCACAGTATAATTTCTTTTTTATTATTAAAAAATGAATTATAAGTAGTATAATTATAATAATATTAAGTATAATTATACATGACTTGTTTAGCTAATTTCTTTTATTATTATTATTATTATTATTATTATTATTATTATTATTATTATTATTATTATTATTATTATTATTATTATTATTATTATTATTATTATTATTATTATTATTATTATTATTATTATTATTATTATTATTATTATTATTATTATTATTATTATTATTATTATTATTATTATTATTATTATTATTATTATTATTATTATTATTATTATTGTTATTATTATTATTATTATTATTATTATTATTATTATTATTATTATTATTATTATTATTATTATTATTATTATTTTATTATAAGTAGTATAATTAAAAAACTATTAAGTATAATTAAAAATAACTTGTTTAGTCAATTTATTTTTTATTATTAAAAAAATAATTATAAGTAGTACAATCATAATAATATTAAGTATAATTAAAAATAATTTGTTTAGTTCATTTATTTTATTTATCATTAGTAGTATAATTAAAAATAATATTAAGTATGATTAAAATAATTTGTTTTTGGTTAATTTTTTTTATTATTAAAAAATTAATTATAAGTAGTATATTTATAATAATATTAAGAATATTAATAAATAATTTGTTTTGTTAGTTTCTTCTTTTTATTATTAAAAATATTAAATAAATTTATAATTATTTTTAGCCTTAAAAGATTTTTAAAATTTCAATTTTCACCCCAAAATAGTGTTTTCCGTTACTTGGTAACGGATATGTAACGGCGGGAACCAAAAGTGTTTAAAATTGAAACTTAGAGGTGAACTTTGTTCATACTTTGGAATAAGGGAGACCGAAAGTGAAATCAGATCAAACATGAGGGACCAAAAGTGTAATTCTTCCGAAAAATTGTGATGCAGTTGGTTCCTACTGGCGATTGTAGGTAAAACTAGGGGTGTAAACGAGCCGAGCTCGAGCCGAGCTCGCCTCTTTTGGCTGGCTCGAGCTCGAGCTCGAGTTTATTTTGTCGAGCTCGAGCTCGAGCTCGAGCTCGCGAGCTCCTCTTTTTTTGGCTCCGGCTCGACCTCGCGTCACTTTTCGCGAGCTCCAGCTCGTGCCCCTTGTCTGGGGTGTACCTTACCGATTTTTAAATGGTTTTTTATTGGTTTATTTTGTGATTGAAAAATTGTTTTGCATCCTAAACCATCAGAAAAAGAAAACGGGGATTGTAAATATAAACACTTTCTACAATTTTGCTTTGAAGTCCCCTCAAAATTTGGAACTAAAATGGGGTTTTTTACTTAAAAAATTACCTTTTTAAAAGATCCAAAAAAAAAAAAAACCTCTTTCAATTCCGGCCTCTAAAATGCGCTTCTAGTTTCAAAAAACAACCTCCCAC